AGATTTAATAGAAAAATTGAGGTAGGTTTCAAAAATATCAACATATTCACAACTTCGCTGATGCAAAAACCGATATTTCTAAGTTAACTGGAGTTATGTGTTAATCTTATTTAGATGGGCTTAAGTACGACAAAAGTTATGACCCTCAATATTACATCTAAAGTGTATTACAATTGGGATAATCTGGAGTGCGAGGATCCTTTTAGAAAACTGTCTTAACAAAATTTACTTTTTGGTATTGTGAGAATATTGGATCGCTAGAAAATTCCACAATTATTGGTATTGAGTAGAATTACACCAGGACATAATTGCCATACAGCAAAACCAAAGTAAGTCAGGGAATGCACACTTTGTTAATAAGTCAACAAATTAATTCAGGGACCAAATGGTCCACTAGTTTCAAGCTGATTCATTGCTTAGCATGAGCTATTCAAGAAATACTACAAGATGAAACATAAGGCTATGAAAACTTTGTTAACATTAAAGCTCAACAATTAATTGCCTTTCAGTTAACTTTTGTCATCAAGAATTTTCATCATTACAGTTGCTTGGAGGAAGAAACGATGAAATCTTCTTATTCATTACTATTTTACTGCATCCGTAGCGGACACATGTAGCATACATCATATAAATACTTTTAGAAAGTATTGAATATCTATTAGATAAAGTTGAATTACTTTGCCAAATTGTAGCTTAAATACATTTTACTCATATAAATAATCAGATTTTTGCCTCTTTACTTAATCATTCCACTGTTTAGTTACACATTTGATTAAAGTTCCAATGTATATTATAAAATTAGTGAGCTTTGCACAGTTAAACTTCATAGAATCCTTGAATTAATTAAAGCATTTAATCTACTATCGAAAATAATTACCTGGATGCTAGATTTTAGTACTCTATGCTGCTAAACGTCATTTGAGTTAACCGACGATTGGACAATATCAAATGAAGCCTAAATAGCAGAATTATCTTTGTTCTAAGCGAGCTCGCTGTATGAGCTTGGCAAACTTTCAGTTCAATGTGGAAAAAACATGTTGGGCTATATAGATATAAAACGATTAAAAGATTATAATGAAACCATTAACCTCACACAAGAGCATCTTTTTAATATCTACATAAATGTAGGCAGCTGTTCATATTGTGAACTTACCAGAATTAGGTGCATCAATAGCATGATTTATAGGATGGACCCAAGAGAAATAAAGCTGTTTCAGAATCACTTTAGGAATAATTTGGCAGTATTTACATTAAGTGTGAAAGAAGAATTTCAATTTCCATAGGAGAGCAGTATCATAATATCTTCTGTTATTTTAGGTCAGCATTAAAAGGTCCAACTCGATTTACAGTGTATCTATCTATACATACATAAAGTATGAATTTAACAGAATATTAATTACAAGGCTCGTGTTAACATTAATTGCAAGCCTTGAAAAGCATTAAAGACAAGTCATTAGTGCATATGGTAGATTCTATAATATTCTATTATTGCGAACATAATGATAATTAGGAGATTATGAATTTTGAAAATGATCATCAAACATTATAAAGATGAAGAGGGAGTAAATCATAAGATTTACAATCTTCTTAATATAATGATTAAGTGACTTGAGTAAATGTCATAAAATATAATACTTTTCTTTTATTAGCATATAGTGTTAGCATAGCACAATTTTGGAAATATACTTAAATGTCCATTTCATTGAAGGATAGAGCAAATATAAGTATACATTTGGCCCTTATTACTGCAGGTTTGGCAAAAATTAAGGCGCTATTATAAATAGAGCATTAAGAACAAAACAGTATGACAATTCTTACAGTTTAAAGGTAGAAGGCTTGAGGTTTTTAAAACTAAAAAACATAGTACACAATAAAAGAAATATGTAATACATCCAGTGCATGTTGAGGAGATGCAGCGTGTCGTGATGTACAAGAGAACCTACGTTAAATATAAACATTAAATAAATATACACATCAACTAATCTATTTATGTAAAGGTTATAATCAGTTTTAAATACAAATGCTTATGATCTAAATATAAGGACAATCTAGCAATAATAAAGAAACTTACAGCCTGAGTATTATTGATATTGAAAGTAAGAAGTAAGGATAATAAGATAATGTGCAAGAAGGAACAAGGGTAAGCTCATTTTCTAGATGTAAGAAGAGCAGATATTATCAAGCGAATTCTGAATACATGATGTATGTTAACATTAGCTATATATTCTTATTAGGTAGTTTAATATGCATTACAAGAATCCAGAATTTAAGTAAAATAAAGAACAACTTTAACAAGTTATAGTTGATGACTAGATGTATGAGATGATGTGTTTAGAGTAGAATTGGCGTTGAGTTCTTTAACTACACGCAAGAAGAGAATAAGATGCAGTTAGGAGCAAAATTTTAAGAAGCCACACCATGATTCAGTTCTAGTATAGCTATAAAATTATGGAGTGAACGCAATTACAAGATGCTGGAATTGTTTAAAGTTATATAAATATGACATATTGAGTAGCTTTCATAATATAAATATGCTCTGAAGACACAAGTGGAGTTGGAAGTTTAACATTAATATAAAGATTAGTACTATTATTTGAGCAAATAATGCAAGCACGCGAGTTGCATATTTACATTATGAAACTATACAAATACCTGTATCATTCTCTTTTCAAGGATAAGTAAAATGAATTAGTTTGAGGGGCTGTAAATGATATAATTAATGTTTGCATGATCTACTCAGTAAAAAAGTTATAGCAAAAGGATCGATACATTTAGTAGAATCTAAATAAACAATATTTATTTTTGTCCTCCTCAAAATGCCAAAAGTTAAACATTCATTTCAAGCTTTGCTTCAAGATTTGTTGCAAGCTGGATAGCAAGTAGAAGAAAGTTATACTACAGCAGAGCCACCAATTCATAATCAACAAACGAGAATATTTATGATGACTTATCAAATGTATCAGGGATGCTGGCAGAATAAAATCCTCAGGTATTTTGGAATACTTTTGGATAAGTATTACTATTCTTAACAAAGTTTGTATGAATCCATCTGCAGATCAGCTGCTCCAATATCGTGAACGTATTTAGGCTGTGTAAGCTTTTCAATTTGAATTCTACCGTAACAAAA